TATATTTATTTTTTCTCGTTATTTCATCTGGATTTCTTTTTTAATATTATTATTAATATTATTATCAGGACAAAAAACTTGCATACGACTATACATTCATGCGTATTTTCTTAACTGATTGACATTTTTCTTCTTTTTCATTTTTCTTTTTTTTTCACATCTCCCTTTTATATTCTCTCTTTCTATCTTTCTTCTTAACATCCAACGCCATTCCTGGAAGCCAAGGACGGTATCGATTCGACGTTAGTTATAAGAGAATCTTTTCGGTTCGTAAGTCCTGTGCGATTGGATTCTGCTGGCCATTTAAAATATCATTTTTTTTGTCGATGCCTTTTTTCAAAAATATTTTCCATTTTAATCACATTCTCTTTCTCTCTTTTTTCTCTCTTTACATATATTTATCGAACCTTTCCCCTCTTCTCCCCTTTTATCTCTCTTTTTTCTTTTTTTCTCTCTCTTTCTTTAATGACAAATACATTAAAGCTATGTACACATTTTAACATACTCTCGTCGCCATATTAGATTAAATCTTACGTATGTAAATACGCGATGTAAATGCATACGTTTAAATCCCTCGGACACGGTTTGGTAGCCTCTTGGCAACATTTTATGTATAATAATATACATATTAATACATATATATATATATGTATATGTATATGTATTTATATGCAAAGAACTCTAGGACCGATTTTAAAAAAAGGCAAGAGGGCAATAATCATCGTAATATCATCGAAAGACCCTGTATAGAAATTTTGGATTTGAAACCGCAATTAATAATATATATTTTATTATATAATATACATTTATATCATAAACTGTGAATCACTGGAGTATTCGTACCCATTCCCATTGTAAAGTTAAAATAATTAATATTTGCTTGTAATACAAAGCTTCAAAATTTTTCTACACGGAAATAGGATTATTTAACTTTCAAATTGATATAAATTTGATCGCGGAAGAATATTTTGTTTTCAGAGAAATATAATTTTAATTAAATAATCACAAAAATTAGTTTCACAAGAGTATTTACATTTACACAAGATATAATAAAAATACAATGATTATTTTTATAAGTAGAGAGTACTTGGTTAGCCCTTATTTGGCATATCTTGTGAGACCAATTTTCTTATCAGTTCTGCCAAATTTTACATCTCTTAAGAATAAAATGCTCTTTTTCAATGAAATTTATATCAATTGGAAAGTTGAATAATCCTAAAATATATTTCTGTGCATAAAAATTTAGAAATATTGTATTACGAGAAAATATAGGTTTTATTTTAAATATACAGTGGGGGAGTACGAATACTCCAAGGACTCACTGTATATTATATTTTCTTATAGGCGCTTCTCTTCTCTTAAAATGAATTCGATTCGCGCATTCGTGCGACGAGTTTCTTTTCCTTTCTTTTCTTTTTCTTTTTTCTTTTTTTTCTAATTTGAAGGGTTAATACAGAGAGGGTAAATACGTATAATAGATAAAATACATACATAGTAGAAGAACTTGTTTATCGCGAATCGCGCTCGTAACGCGTTACTCGAAGAGGTAAAAGCACAGCCCGCTCCGTCGACGAAAATCAACGACGAATCAGTCGGTGACGGTTTTTTTTATAACGTCGGAAGGTCTTCGTCTTTTCTTCGTCGACATACGCCCAAAATCAGAAAGAGAGAAAGGAAGTCAAAGAACGAAAGATTAAACCAAAAGAGAAAGCAAGAAACAGAGAAGGAGAAAGAGAAGAGTAAAGAGAGAAAGAGAAAGAGAGAGGGAGAGGTGGGTGGTGGTGGTGATTGGGAGAGGGGAAGAGTCAGACGGATCGGAAGGATGGAGGCTGATCGGCGCCAACATCGGCGCCAACATCGGCGCCAACATCGGCACCAACATCGCCGAATACAGAAAGAAAGGAAATTTTGATCAGCTCGTTACTGATTGCACGTTGGCGAAGAGTGTGCTTGCGAATGTGTTCTAGGATGACCCGTAGCTTCCCGTTTGAGTCTTTGTTTGAGGTGCACCTTAGCGTGCCTCTTCTTCTCGTCACTTCTCGCAAACTTTCTTCCGCACTGGTCGCAGCAAAACGGTTTCTCGCCTGTATGCGTGCGAACGTGGGTGGTTAAATGGTCGCTCCTCGAAAAGGAGCGCATGCAGATACGACATTGGAAGGGTTTTTGTCCCGTGTGTATGCGAATGTGTCGCGTTAGTTCGTCGCTTCGTGAGAATCTACGGTCACAGCCGTCGACAGGGCAGGCGTAGGGGCGCTCGTGAACGGGCGTTTTGCTCGGTCGATTCGGATACTTTCGTGGCTTTACTGGTACTAGCCTGAGTGGTAGAGCGCTCTGTTGATACACCTGCGAGAGGATCTCGTGGCCTTTCGACGTGCTTGGGTTGTATTCTGCGAGTTGAACGCCGGTCGTACCCGCTGGTGGTTGTTGTTGTTGTTGTTGCTGTTGTTGTTGTTGCTGTTGTTGCTGTTGTTGTTGTTGCTGTGGTTGAGGTCCTTGGGGTGGTGGTGGCTGTTGTTGCTGCTGTTGTTGCTGTTGAGGTTGTTGGACAGTACTGGGGTAACCGCTCGTGCCCGTTGGCTCCTGTTTCAGCGCAGTTTCCTGATGATGATGATGAGGGTGATGGTGGGAGAGAAGGCCAGGGTCGTAGGTCCCGTCAACCTCGTGTCCCAACCACGTTTGCGGGGTGGTAGTAGCCGTATCGTGGTAACCGGGAGGTGGGGGTGGCTTCGATTCGACCTGCAGTAGTTCGACCGTTTCATTGCCGTAGGGGCTTGAATGGAGGGTCGGGTGAAGGAAAGTTTGCCCGGTCAATGTCAATGTCGGCGAGGGTAGAGGACCCCAAAGTTCTTGGCTGCTTGTCTGTGGCTGTTGCTGCTGTTGCTGTTGAGTTTGTAGACTGTTTAACGGAGGAGATTGCGTGCAGGTCGTCGCAAATACTCCACGATAGGTTAAGGTCGGAACGTTGCAAATGTTTACGCTTGTTGCGGCAGTCGTCGAGGACGACGTGGAATGAGGCGAGGAGTAGAGTATAACGCCACCTTGAAGAACGTTGCAACGATCTGCATCCTCCTGAGCTTGGTGATGACGCGACGGACTGTCGGAGGAGGGTGCACCCGTCGTCCCGCTATCCTGCGTTTCCTGATGATGGTGATGATGATGATGATGTGAACGATGATCCCTACTGGCTGGACCACCATTCTCCTCTTCCTCCGCTGTTGCATCTTCCAACGAGAGGTCTTCGCCCGCCAGGCTACCTGCAAATCGTTGCAATTCTTAATTAGTATTATTCAATCTTATTGTTTATCTATTATTATTCTATCAGTTTATCTCATGCTTCTGGACATGCACGGAATAATAAAGGACAGAGGTTATTATATCGTGCGAATAATTGAATCCTTTAAACGTGCTCATCACTTTTGTCAGCAAATTCAATATACGCCGAGAAGCGAGCGAACTGGCAGGAAGAGTCACGCGATACAGGGGTGAGTTTATCTTAGAGTCGAGAGCCTACCGACGAGTCCTATCTGTCGTCTGCATCCTGCCGGTTCGTAACTTCCTTCCTTAGCACACAATCATTCTTTAACTCTTCTTTCTGTCTCTTTTTATTCACGAAAATATATCGACAAACGCGGATACGAAAACTTTGAAAACTGTCCACTCGGAAATGTGGTAAAGAAGTCTATACTTTATAGAAAAATTACAAATAAAAATAACATTAGATCCGATATACATGAGGTTAAATATAATGATGTGTGAAAAAAAAAGAGAAGACAAAAAGAGCAAGAGAAAGAGAGAGAGAAAGAGAGAAAAAGAAAGAGAGAAAGAGAAGGAGAGATAAGGGAGGTAAGAGTGTAAGGAGGAACAGTTTTATGGGAAAAACGGGCTGGTTGTGGGTGTGAAGGTGATAAAGGGAGAGATGTCGGGAGGGTAGCGAGAGAGAGAGAGAGAGAGAGAGAGAAAGAGGTGGGGTTCGGTTGGAAGCATGAATGAATCTACCAAGGGATGGTGAGAGGAGTTGGAGGAAGAAGAGGAGGTGGAAGGTGGTACGGGAAAGAGAAGGAAGGAGGGCTTCTGAATGTCGGGGTCGCCAAGTATTGATCCGCGACAGACGAACACGTTCGATATTAGCCGTTCTCGCGAGCCAAGTGATATGAGTACGTCAGCGGCGTGTCGTATCATAAGGTTCTTTTTATTTTTTTCTCGCGAACGTGAATAAGATATTTTCTTATTTCATTCGCGTTGATTGTGTCCCGTTGATCTTGAGAAAGATCCTGCCGTACTTTGTACGAAATGCTCGGAAAAAGGAGCGACGTTCGTATGTGATAGCCGGTTTGCCGACAAGGGTATCAGGAGTGTACGGAGGTCGCGTGCTCGGAAGAAAAGCGAAAGTTCGCTTTCCACGATGCACCGACGAGACGAGAGGGTGCAAGGCCAATTGATTTCCAGTTGGAAGCCGAGAACCTTGCATCAATGTTTTCTCTCTCTCTCTCTCTTTCTCTTTTGTTTTTTACTTTCATACATATTTTTGATAATATCCATATTTATAACAGAGATCGTAGTACGATCGGAGTGATGGTATTATATATAAAGAAATATTATAGGTAGGTGTATCGTTTGCTTTGAAAAGTGAAATGGAGAAGGTAGTAGGAATATAGGAAGATTGGATAGAGGTGTATCAGGTTGGGAGGGTTTATAGGTACCTGAGATCGGTGGCGGTTCGACCAGCGCGGAGGGGCCAAAGAAGGATGGTAGATCGCTGCTGGTGGTAACTGGCGTGTTCAGGTCGCCAGGTTTGTCCTTCTCGTTAGGATCTTGGAGATCGTCGTTGCAGTTCCTGGTATATTCTTTGTCATTGTCATCCGGTTGCCGGTGTCTCTTGGTAGCATCGTTGATATCGCCCGGTGACGAGCAAGGAGTATCGACGTGACAATGATGTTGTTGATGATCGTCGAGTCGATGATGATGGTGGTGGTGGTGGTGGTGATTGTTGTGATGATGCCGGACGTGGGAGTGATCGGACGAGTCGGACGAATTGTTCTGATGATGCGAGTGCAGGGGCACGCAGGAGGTTAACGAGAGGGTCGGGATGGTCTTAGTTGAGGCTGTTGCCAAGGATGTACAAGAGGATCCTGTGCTGGCGGGGCTCGAAGTAGCGCCGACACCGCAGCCCACCGATGCCGACGTCGAGGAAGAAGCGTTGTACGGTAAACAGGCGTCGAAACTTAGCTGTACCGTTTGCAGATTGAAGGTCGCGTGGTGGTGATGATGATGGTGGTGTCCTAAAGGCGGCGAAGACAGGAGAAAAGGGCTGGTGGCCGCGTGAGGTTGCGAGCCCACCACCTCCATGCCGTCCATCGTCATCCTCTGGAGCAGCTGGTTTCCTTGCTGAGCGTCTACGGATTCCTCGGTGTTACTGCTAGCGGCGTTGGTGGTAGTGGTGGTGGTGGTGCCGCCGCCGCCGGTACTGGCGCACTGCGTGTCCTCGCCTGTGGTCGTATCGTTCAACGCAATTATTATGGTTATACTACTTGATCCTTCCTCGGTTGGTTTAAAGACGTAACGACGAGAAAACCTAGAGTCGCGTCCCGCGACAACCCTTTTAATTAAACTAGCCCCCTCTATTCGCGAATATTTCTCTCTCTTTCTCTCTCTCTCTCTTCCTGTCTCTCTCTATCTCTTTCTCTCTCTCTCAATCGTACCTTCTTGTCTACGTCACTGGATTAGTAGCGGTCTCGATCACTCGGGACACGCGCGCGCTGCCCTTTTTCATTCGTCTCGACACGCGCGTACCACGTCGTTTATGAGGTTGTTTAAAGTGCGAGATAACTCGACGCCGCCCGGAAAAACTTGTCTCCGTTCGCGCACTAGCAGTACGACGACGACGACGAAGAAGACGACGACAAATACCGCGCGGTGGCACGTACCAGCGGAACAACACCGCGACAAACTGAGAGCACCAGACAGCTTCTCTATCTCTTTTTCTCTTTATTTTTATTTGTTTCTTTCTCGGCACGATCCGGTGTCCGGTTCGCCTCTCCCGTATCCTCCTCCAGCACCGGTCGCGCCGATACTACGAACTTCTCGACGCGTTCGCCTCCCTCTCAACGCGAGAAGAGGGAGGACTATGGGGGGTGGGTAAGAAGGTAGACAGGTAGCTATTTCTCTCTCTCTCTCTCTCTCTCTATCTCCCTTTCAATGGTAGGAGAGAGACACTCCTCCTGCCTATCAAAATATTATCACACTGATCACCGATAGGTTCTTTGCTGAGTAATCAAGAATAAAGTTCACTAACTCGAAAGGGAATTCTTTTTTACGTGATTCCTCGCTTATATTATACGAGAGGGTATACTAACAATAACGGTATTAGAGAAAAAGTTAAATTATTATTATTGTTGTCGTTGATAGGTGCCGAAATTTGCTTAAACGTAACCGAGCACACGATTGTTTCTCTCTCTCCCTCTTTCTCGTCTTGTCACTTCTCTTCGTTCGCGTATATTCCGAGATGTATCTCGTATAATACACTCGTGTATTATATACGGAATGGTCACACATACACATACATATAGATATATATATATATATATATATATATATATAATATCTATATATATATACTTATATATTACTTATACACAAAGCTACTTTGAAAAATATACAAACACACACACAGCGGATGGATGGTGAGACATGCGTGTATCAAACACAGAGAGATAAGGAGAGTCTTTGCGTATCATGTGTGGGCGCACGAGTACGCGTCTCTATCTCACAGTATCTCTTTCGGTATCCTCTCTCTCTCTTTCTTTCTCCTTTCTCACTTGGTTAACACGCGCGCCCGCGCGCGCGCGCGTGTGTATGTGTGTATTGTCAAGTTCGTGCGGAGGCACGAGTTAGAACGCGAAAGGGATCGTGAAAGAACGCGCGATGCGTGGGGGTCGCGCACGAACTGAGCCGAGTTGCGGCGCGCCCCGTAGTTTTATGAATGGACCACGGAGACTGTCCCATATTTGGAAGCGTCGAGCCGTCCGCCAGCCAATCCCCGCTCTCGACTCTCCTGTCTCTCTTCCGCGCACACGCGAGTGCACACGCGAGCGCAACACTTTCTGTGTGTCGTCCGTGCGGACGCGACCGCTCTGTGCGCCGTATCGCGCTCCTTACCCCCACCACACTCCACTATACTCTTCTCTCTCGCTCTCTCTTTCCCCTTCGTGCGCGCGCTCGCTTGCAACCCCCACCAGGTTACTCTTCACGCGCGCGCCGCCGAGAACGCAACCCGGCCGATATCTCTCGACAGTTGGATGGATAGAGATAGAATGACCAAAAGAGAAAGAGGGAAGGGAAGAGAGGGAGAGAGAGAGAAAGAGTAGAAATGGGAATGCGAGATTATATGCAGTAAGAGAGAGGGAGAGAGAGAGAGAGAGAGAGAGAAATGGACGTATATATTCACTCCCGCTTTCCCCTTTCCTCACGAGAACCACGTTCTCGGTTCACCAGTGACGTAGCTCTGTGACGTAGTAGCGAGGCGCGCGACCGCTCTACCCCCACGCTTGATCGAGCAAGATGAAGAAGGCGCGAGCACGCGGCTTACCATCAAGCAGCCGGCTTGCATGACGAGAGAGAGAGAGAAAAAGAGAAAGAGGGAGAAACAATTTTTGTTCTTCGAGTATATATACCAATTTATATGTTATAATATATATATGAGCCGATGAACATAAATTTTTTGTGATGCATCAAATCATTTATTTGAAAGGCTGAAAAATAGAGAAAGGGAATTTTGTTTTCTTCTTTCTTTATGGAAATGACGTTACGAAATTGTAGCAACTGTAAGTAAGGAATATTTCGATTTTTTATGATCTTTCTTTTGTATTTAAGTAAGGGAGAGAGAGCGATGGAGAGAGTAAAAATGCAGATTGAAATTCTTCGCGTTAATCTTGTTCATATTTTGATTATATTATCCATTAAACGATATAATAAATTTATTTAGTATTTTCCATCCTTATGTTAACGTTAGTCACAGCTTCGTTAATCGTTAATAACACCACATACATATGTAAATACCTGTACCCACACATAGATACATATTGTATATACATATACGTAATAAGAAACGATACGTAAGTATCGTTTAAACTCGTATTACGGGTTACGGAGAGTGGACATGAAAAATTGGGGAGAAGTATGAGAAAAGCACGGACGCAAGAAGGCGGCACAGCTGCTGATCGATCGCGCGTGTCTCACTCCGGTTGAAAGGGAGCGCGCGCGTGCCCGGCACGCAGAAAAAGAACAGAAGAAAGAGGAGAACGAAGAGTAGGAGGTGGAGGAGGAGGAGGAGGAAGAAAACCAGGATGAAAAGGACGAAGAGGAAGAAGAAAAAGAAAAAGAAAATGGAAACTTTTTCATGACGGCATCTACGCGGAAGGGTTAACAACAGCAACAACACAACTAAACTACTACTACACATCGACGACAATTACAACAGCAAGGACAAAAACGACGAGATAAACCTACGACAAGGAGGACGCGAGGCGCGTGCCACGGAAATTGCGCTCGCGCGCACGCTTTCGAGTCACGTACTCGTGCGCTTGCGCGTGCGCCTATGATCTTTTTCTCTGACGGCTCTCTCGCAACCACCTGATGCCCTATTTGGGGCCACGCACAGTCACGCGCCCGCTCTCTTTCTCTATATATCTTCTTGTTCCTTTTTTTCTTTTTCTTTTTCTTTCTTTCTTTTTCTTTTCCCCTCTACTTTTCGCCACTCACTCCTTTATCCTTTACAAAACTCGCGCGCCACTTCTAATCCTGCCGAGACTCTAACAAGTACTCTCGTTAGGTGGAGGACGTCCGACTAGGCCGAAAAGATCAATGACATTTGGCTATTATCCAAACGTACACCTCTATACGATAACAATAACAACTAATGTAACAATGTTTCTTCTTCTTTTTCTCTATTTTGCTATTTATTTCAAATAGTTTTTCAAAAACTTGGTAAGTTGATATGCTTTTATGCGAGATATATAATATAATATTAAGTCGAATGAGAGAGACAAATTTTACTTTATAGTTTTAAACATGTCAATCATGCAAAACACACACATAGAATAACAATAATAATTATTTAAAAAGTGCAAACACACAAATTTGTCCGTCGTACCTAATATTATTAATCACTATTAACCCATTTACATAATTAGCATATTTATATGCACAATTTTCTTGGCCCTTGTTGCAAGAAAATCTTACCTAATCTTTATTATATATCTTTCTTTCTATTTTATATTATACTACACTGAATTTTTATACAGAGTCGACAAATAATACAAATACAAATTATTGAATTATGTACAAAATGCTGAAATACATAGTCTTGATTGTTGCAATATTTCTTCTTTACCGTGTGTCCCGTTTTTTTTTTCGTGAAAATAACAAGTCAACAACAGTATAATAAATAAGAGTAACGTAATAAATAAAATAAGAAAAATAATTCCTGATCATTTTTGATTGTTCCTTAGGATGTAAATGAATAAATTAATTTTGATTGAGGAAAAAAGAAATGTCAAAATATTTGATACGATAATATTCCATTTAGTGGATTGGAAAATATAAGGCAAAGTAAGTGTTCGCGTTTAAGAAGGAATCACCCGACGTTGTTGAGACGATCGGCTGGCACGACAACAAAATGTTCTAAAATGACCGGGGCCCACTCGGTGAGGAGGAGGTGGGCGCGTTCTATTCTAAGCGCGACTCGATGCGATTTTGCGCGGGCGAGTGTCGCTATTTCGAGCCGCCACGCAACCACCTGAGACACCCAGCATCCCCAAATACCCGGGATAACTATCAAGACGCAACTTCCAATTCTAACGTATGAAGAGCACGCTGATTCATCGGACGACGATCTACCAAAGTTTTTTCTTTCACTTCAGCCACGCGTTCAGTAATCATCATTCCTTCCTTCTACGAGTCTTCTTCTGTCAGTTTTATCTTTTAGGATAATCGATAGAATATGTATGACTAGTTCGTTTGTTTGTGTATTATCCAATGTAAATGTTATTATGATTTTCTCGAGTGTTTTCCTGTGAAATATTTGCGAAGCTTCATTTTGAATTTTCCCGCCTTTTACGAGCCGACTTCGTATACAGATTTTTATCTATTATTTTATTTTTATTTTTATATGAATTAATAGGTGATTTTTTGAAGATTGCCTAGATTATGCATCTTTTTCTATTGCATATTTTTTTTTTAGAGTAGATGATTTAGTATAGAATATGTTCATCAATCTGCTGTTTTTAAGGAGTCAATATTTAACTGAAAAAAGGGATTTTGTTTTAATAAATAATTTATTTTGATTTTGATAGAAATCAATCGATGATTTTGAGATTGATTGAAATGATATACTTTTGTTTGTTGGATATTATAATTTGTATTAAACGTAGTTTTGCGTATGAGTAATATGTGTTATTGACAAGCAGCTTTACTTTGACATCATTTCCATTTAAACGGCGGGAAACACGGATTTCAAAGTCGTCTGACTTACATCCGAGTGTAATTAAGGGCAATCGCATTTTTTGTTGTTGTGACAAGCGCCTTTCTACTTATCCTTCTACATATCCATCGATATGAAGTCTAATGAGTAATGATATTGAATACATAAGTAGTATTTTTTATTATATTAATTAAAATATTCAACATTTGCATATAAGTGGAATGATGAAATAATTACAAAGTAGAAAGAGTAGATTTTATCGACGCTATTCCATCTCTTACATTTAACATGTGGAATTAACTTCAGCAGTGGACAGGGGATACAAAAACAATGAAAAAGGTTTATACAAACGTGTGTCTTATTCGATCAAGTTTTAAAAGTGTAATAACTTTTGTGTTTCAATAATCCACGATAGCTAATCTTCATAGAAAGTGTTTTAAATGATTATTATTGGTTTGGATTTCTAAATTATGGTTGTCACGCATTCTGTCAATTAAATGAAATCATTTCAATGAAATTATTTCAATGAAATTATTTCAATTTCAATGCTCAGTCCTCTTACTAGAAGTACTTCGTTATTTTCTATTGACTGTAAGTTTAAAGTTACAAGCGTGTAATTAGATTTTGATGTTCGAGCTCATTTGAAAACAATTGGGTATTCGACACGTTTGCCAGCATCCAAGAACTTCGAACACTTGTACGAGAAGGCTGTCAACGGATTTGATATGTATCTAGAATTTTGGGAAGATCTCGAAATTTGATGATACGTTGACTGCAAGCTTGGATACAAACCGGATAAACTGTCGTGGATTATTTGAACACAAAATTGACTATAACTTTCTAAACAAAATCAAATAAGATACACGTTTGTAAGAACTATTTCCATTGTTTTTGTTTTCCCAGTCCATTCTTAAAATGGGTCACATATATTATTCCATAATATATTTTATTTCGATCAAGTGATGAACATTGCATCGAAAACCGAAATAATATTTTAACCTTGCGAATGAGTATAACTTGAAAATTTAAATTTCAAAAAAGGGAGTCAAGTATTTCTTTTTTTTTTTAATAGAACAAAATATGTGCGTGCATTTGTATAAATGG